GTCTTCCTAAGCTTGTGACCCTCATCCTCCCCGAGGACCTGAGTGAGCTTCTGCAGGCACTTCTCCATGGCCCCTGGGTCCTTTGGTCATACAGTGTTGAGCTCCCAGTAGAAGGCCACTGCCGCCTCCAGCATCCTTTTGTTTGACTTCTGCTCCCACCCACTCTGTCTACCAGGCTGGTTACAGCTTCCTTCTTGGCTTCCTTTATCTTGCTAAAATAATCAGACCACTCTTCCTCCTCTTCCACCAAGGGGACCTGGGTGCGGAAGATCTTGTTCCTGGCCTGTTCCCTGTACCAGGCCCCAGTTTGGGTCTTCACCTCCCTCATAGCCCCCTTCATGTCCCAACCCCAAGCTGCCTGCTTGTGCAGGCTCCGCAGCTTGTGGTTTAGGCATTCATATTGCTTTCTGTGAATCCAGGCTTGCCTGCTTCCAGCCTTGTGCAAGAAATCTTTCGTTTTCTTTTTTACACTAGCCCACCATTCTGTGTGGGTCTGGTATCTGGGTCTGAGGGTTTTCAACCCTGTATAGTGCTGTCTGAACTCCTGGCGTATCTTGTCATCATCCAGAAGGCTCACGTTTAGTTTCCACATGCCCCTGCCTCTCTCAGGCTGTTCCCCTATTTCTGCTTTTACTGGATTTGGCTTTAGCTACTGTCCACCTTTTTGGGAGACTGATAAAGTCTACGTGTGATTGCTATCATCATATTTTTAAAGAAAACAGTTTCACTGTTGTGTTAGCTGGAGCACATACATCAAAGAGATCTTCCTTCCTGTGTTTCCAGGGTGACCTGCAGTAACCTACCTGTGATGATTTCTCTGTGCTGCAAAGGCACACTTTGTCTCCTTTCAGGAGGACTGCGACCCCTGCTACCTGATCGTCATTGGCTCCAGACCAGAATGAGGGTCCCTGCTGCCATTCCCTGAACAAAGCATAGTCTCTAGAACTGGGCAGGCCACATTCCTGAAGACAAAGAATATCTGCTTGCAATTGCGTGAGGGTTATTTCAATTGCATCCAATTTTTCCTTTCCTAAGCAGGCTTCTTACATTTATTGAGGCTAGAACTCCCGTGAGTAAAGCTGTGCTGGAGGGGGAGGGAGGGTTGGTTTGTAGTCTTTTCGTTCTCCTTTTTTAATTATTTTGACACCCTCTTCCATGCTCAAATGCATCATTTCTGTCAGTTTGTTGAGCTCTCTCTGGGATAGTGGTTCCGCCCATCCAGGTGGTGTGTGCTTGGGGGACCTATTTCTCTTATGCAAGTAGGGGGTTACCCAGGGGCTCTGACTTGCCTGGGGTCTCTCCTTTTCCTTTCTGGACTTCCATGTCAAAGCTACCCCTTTCTTCTGGGGTCCTTCCTGGTCCCCTTTTTGGGGGTTTAGGTTTTTCCATTCCCTCCCTTTATCTGTCCTTTCCATTTCTGCAGCCAGATCTTTCTCTCCTGCTTTTTTCTGAGGTCTTCGACCATCTTTCTTCAAGTTCCCACATTTTCTTGTGAATAGGTTAAGCTCTCCTTTTTGGAGGGGTTTTCCCTTTCTGTTTTCCTCACTTTCTGAGACATTTTCTGTCCCCTTCCTCTTTGTTATTGCCAGGTGAGGGGTTGGAGGGGGATTGTATTTTCTGCAGTCCCCCCTTTGTTTTGTTTTTTCCTTATATTAGCATAAGATTGGGGGCAATCTTGGAAGACATGCCTCATT